CAATAAGTAATTTCATTAATTGTAAAAATAAAATTTATTTATTTAAATTAATATAATCGTGTTACATTTAAATATACAAAATTTTGTTTGATAAATTATTCGGAATTTTCGAATTAGAAATTATTATTTTTTCTTCCACGCATCTTCCAGTAAAGATCTGATGATGTCGAAGCGCGCATTGAAGAACGCGAATTCGCAGGTAGTTCTTACAAAGAATCTGCTTACATCTTTTAATATTTGATCATTTCGATCTTTCGTCGATTCCTTCTCATCATCGCTACGATACTTTTCGATTTTCTTACATTTCGTAAGGAAATATTTGCGCGACTTTCCTATATCCTCTTTCAAGTTCTCAACTAGCTCAACTAAACTAGCTAAAGGTCCATCGTCTCCTCCGTCGGTTGTCTCTCGTCGCTGTGCACGTTTAATTTTTACTAACTTTTTGATTAGTTCAAACTTTTTCGCTTCTTTCTCGGTGAACGTGATGAATTTCGCTTTGTTCAGAAGCAGAAACATTTTTCTGTTCAACTGAAAAATCTCATCGAATTCAGTTGTACCAGCGACTTCTTTTTCGAATGATGAAGTGAGATCATCGAATCGTTCTAGAAGCACAGTCGCTTCATTGAACCAACACGACTTCCAGCATACCTTCTTTATACTTTCTGCGGGAACAATTGTCTGCAAAGCAACCTCGATGGTCTCGTTCAAGCTCAACATTCTGATGATTTTGTATGTAGTTAACGAAGTTCTGTTCGTGAAAGCACTGAAGTGTTTACTGATGTCACAACAACTTCGATCTGCCCTTTTATGTCCAAAAATATGGAGGTATTATTGCAAAGTGGTGGGAATCTACGGAATGGCCAAATTTTTTGGAATTGCAATTTCACAACAGTGCAATAAAAATACAATCAAAGAAAGTAGATATTTTTTATTACCCTCTTTGAACGATTTACATTACCCTTCTTTCCACTAATAACCATGCAATAAAATTGAAATCTAGTGTACCTGGAATTATTCGTAAGGTTCAAAATTATTAACAGACAACTATAATTTGCAAATAGCCAACTGCAGTAATATCTGATATAATGATATATTACGCATATTTGAATATTTCAAAATAAATTAAAATTTTAATCTAGGAAAATAAAAATAAAGTTTCCATAGAAATAAGTTTCTTATTGATATGTTGTCAAGTAGCTAGCTTCTGCGTTTGATATAATTTAGAAATAGTTAGTATATTGAACCATATAAAAGTTTGCCGAATTTAAAACAGTCAAGATTTTTGGTTGAAACCGTAGAATTTTGTTTTTCCAAATAATAAGTAAATAATTTCTAAGAAATGTTGATAAATAGCAATATAATAAAAAAGGCAAACTGTTTCAAAAGGGCTATTGACCATAGGTCTTTCTGTTCGAAAGTAAAATATAGGGTGTCACAAAATTAACGCAAGATTTGAATTAAATAGAAAACACAGTTTTTTTTGTCTTCAGATTGTGATTTTGTGATAAAAACTGTGTTTTCTATTTAATTCAAATCTTGCGTTAATTTATTATGAATATGGTTATAAAAATATTATCATAAAATAATTTCCTAGAAGTCAGAAAGTCTTAAGTAAAACTGTGTTTTCTGGCCAATAAATTATGAATATTATTATTAATATAATCACTAGTCTCAGTCCCATTCACTAAGTATAATTTAATAATTTTTTAAATTTGTTAATCACATATAGGCAACCAATTTAACAGGAACACTTTCCTTTTTTTTTAAATTAAACGCACTTTCAAACTTTCAAATCAAGATACAAATCCGCTTTTATAGAATATAATTATTTATTTTATTTTATAGAATAACAATATATTCGTTAATTACAATGAATTGCAACAAATGTTTATAATATATTTTTTTAATCTACTAAAATTCCAACTAATTTATATAAATAAACAATTATTCTTGTTTAAAAATACTTAACAAATTAAGCAAATATTCAAAACATTTCCATTGATTATTTAGCTATATAAAAATCAAATTATTGAGTTTTTGTTAAATTTACATACATCAATTAATAGTTAACAATTTGTTTTTAATAATAATAATAATAATACAAAATGCGTAGCTTTCGTTAAAATCGTTTTCTTCTTCATTCTTTATACTCTGCCATCTAGCGACAACGTCTCTTAAAATTGCTATGTAGATTTGGTTGCATATAACACAGCATGCTTTTGTTTTTGTAGATTTGGTTGCATATAACACAACATGCTTTATGTACAATTTAAAAAAAAAATATAAAAAGAAAATCGATCTAGTACGTTCGAACGGATTTGTACGTTATTACGATAATTTAAATTGAGTGAGTATTTTTACTTTTTGTGTGGACAAAGGCTACTTGTAAAATGACACAATTAAATTATTAATATTATATATCACGCTTCTTTTTATTTGGAAAATGAGATTCAATACGTTTGTATATGATACAATTTCATGAAATAGTAATTATCATCTGTATTCTAAAATATCGTTTGCATCTAGTTTCCATATTTACAAAACAAAAACTCTGCAACATCAATTGATTGAACAATTGAAATAGATTCCATTTCAGTTGTTATTTGTAAATAATAATGATAATAGTGTAGTGCGTTTAGTTTACAGAGAAATTGGTAATCTGAGAACCCAATCAAAAAATAACTAGCGTATGCGAAGTACGCGAAGCTCGTAAACGTATGTAAATCTTTGGTAAATTGGATCTGAGCTGCAATATTCCGGGGGAATGCGTTAAGCCGTCCGTGCAGCGTACATGAAATTGCATATTTCTCTTGCGACATGACGACATATCGAAGCAAGCGGGAACTTTCGAAAAGGCCAAAAAGGCAATTGCCCAACGTGTGACAAAATACAATTGTAATTACAGTCGCATGAGTCACAGTCACGTCGGCTTTCTCATCCGTACGGGAATCATGACAACAGGAAGAATGTGGAAGGAAGGAAGAAAGGAGGAGTACACTAAACATATGATTTGATTTGGAAGTTTCAATGCTTCTTGGTTTCAAGAAGTAGAAAGCAGAAACCTATAATATATTTAATAAAATGGACAGTTTCATATAAATGATCTTTTATTCGGATACACTGGTGTATGTTTGACGTTATTACCAACAAAAACAAATAAATATCGCTTCTCCTATTGTGAAAGAGAAAATCAGAATATTTATACACTGGAGTTGAATCTATTGTTGCCTTGGTAACAATATCCGTAGACAATTGAAGAAAGTGCTTTAAGATTTGAGGTCTCGAATATACCTGCGAATGTACACTAGATTAAGTAACGAAAAAAAAGAACATGCAGAGAAAACGGAGAGGAGCCACCAAATATCTAGATTAGTTTTTAATTTAAAAATTTAAAAAAAAAATCACGGTAATTGTATAGAGCAGCAGCTCAGCAAACCGAATCGCTCCACATATCCAACAATAAAAAGAAAACAATACTTGGATGCGGAATACGGCGAAATCGTGTTTCTTAATTGTTTATTAAAACTTTGCTGGTGTTTTCATTAAAATTCCATTCATCCATTATATTTTCTTGTTCAAACTTGTTGCACTCTCTCGAAAGTTTTGTTTTCACCATAGAACTTTGCAAAAACAAATATGAAAGAAGAAAAAAAAATAGAAATTATTTACTTAGTTCTTAAATATATATACGTACTTATTATTGTATGCATAAGAAAATACAAAATTAATGTAATTTCTTTACGCAATTGAAGCGCTACGAACGGACGACATGTGCTGTATTAGAGAAATCTTACGATCATTGTCAATCTTTCAAAAAAAAAAGTGTTTTATAAAAGTTTCTTTTATAATCTGAAAATAAATGTATTTTCTAATTGTTATTGGTTGATCCAAAAGAAAATATTGTGAATGCAATATCTTTTAGAAAAAAATGGAAATGCGTTATTGAGAAATGCGTCTTACATGGATGGCAGCAAATGCGATTCATGAAATTCATATGTATGCAAATTTCACATGGAATTTTCGCAAATCAAAAAATATTCGATTTGATGGAAACTCGTACGACCCTAAGAAAGGCTATTCATTAGTGTAATCGCATTACAATACGTTTTACAATAAGTTTTGCTTTAGTCTAAAATTAAAGATATTTTCATAGTAAAAAGTGAAACGAAACGCCCTAATTTTCGTGTTCGTTTGTTGACTGGTTTAGATTTTATCTGTTAAATAGTGATGAACCACTAGTAAAATTGTTGAGAAGGAAAAAAGTCGTATGTTGCCGATCCCTCTTTTTGCGTTCGCCGATATGATTCGCAGCTGCAAATACATTTTTATGACTCTCTTATCTAGTCTTCGAAACTCACGTTTTTGTACTCCAATAAGAATTGTTCAAACGTTCAAATCAACTCTGATTCGTCGTGCTAAAAATAAGAAATAATGTAAGACTTTAACAACAATTATTGAAGTGATAGATAAATTAATAGCATCATTTTATTAAATACTTAGTGAAATAAGTGCGTACATGTATTTCTTAAAATAAACAAAAAAGGTAAAGATGGAATCCCGATCGACGCAATGTAGGCCAAGTGCATTCAAAAAAGAGAAGCAGAATGTGTCGATTCACCTTATCGTTTTTTCGTTTTTCGATTCCTCTTCGCCGCTTAAATGAAAGGTAAACTGAGTAACTAACTGTAAAGCAAGAAACGGTGTGCGTCGAAAAAGAAAACGGTTCAACGTTATTAAAGGACAATAAAATAAAATTTCAAATAAGTAACGAAAAACACGAAATGCTGTAATGTCGTGTCCATGTTTGTTCGCGCTTTCAAATTATTGTTATTTTTTTTTTTGGAATCGACGTGTAGTTTATTCGAGGACAGGTCTCAACTAATACATATATATATATAGATGAGTGTACATATGTAGTGTGCAGTGTATTAAACCGTTTCACGCGCGATTATTATTACAGATTCGTGCTTTTACTGTTTTAAGTAGGTTAGGGAAAGTTTACCTTTTAACGAAGAAGACCAGCAGTGCATTAGTACAACTTTGGCAACTGTACTGTGAGCACGGTGTGTTTTATCCAGTAGGCTCGACAAGAAGACACGTCCAAATAAAACAAAAGGGGTTTACTATCAACTTACTGCAGCAGCAACAACAACAAACAAAACACAAAGTAAGTGTTAAAAACATAAACCTACAACAGCATATAGCAATAAATCACTTAATTTTCATTACATACGCTAATCGTAGTAATTTTAACAGAAATAAGTAATGCGCACATAGTTATGTTTACTCGTTCATATTGCCGCACGTTTTATTATAAGTAAATCAATCGCAAATCCATATTATTAGCCTTTCATTCTCATATCTACAGTAACATTGATGATGATGATTATGATGATTAAAGTGAAAAAATCGGATGAACAATAACCGACTTATCTAGCAAAGCTCTCGGTTTTTACGGAGGCATTAATTCTCTTCGGGGGAAAAGCAATAAATTTCGCACGAAGCGAGCAGCCAGCTCCGTTTGCAATTGCACTTTCTACACTATCGATTCCATCAATTTCTATTCGTGCCACGGTTTATTTATATACCGCCGGCTTCTTCCATACAGCGACAATATTTTGACTTTTGCTCGAGGAATTTGTTTCGATGGAAAAAGGATGGAAATAAAGTTCTTTTCTAACATCGGAACAAATGTGTCAACATCGAGCGAGACAAATAGAAAGTCAAGAGGAAACTTGCGCGAAACAGTCGACAAATAGTTTCCAGGACTCGTCGATTATTCAAATGAATGCAAATAATATCTAAATTTTAACCAATAATTGATATATAAAATTAACAGATAATGTTAGTAATATGAATTATTTGAATGCAATTATACCTAAATTACGCACGATTTCGAAATGTATTTCAATGATTCGGTCAGAATTCGACGGATTCTGTGAGAGTGAGCGAAGCGAGCGAAAAGAGAGCGCCAAACAAACACGAAATTGAATATTTTGCTCATTATCGGAATGGAAAATTATTAATAACGTTTTCTAATTGCACCGCACGCAAAATAATACAGCCGCTCTCCGGCGAAATGACGTTTTTCATCGTAGAAAGCTCTGACACGGCATTCGTACACACGGCACTGTCGATTCGGTTCATCTAAATCTCGAAGATTCAATAGTAATTAGAAATCTCATTTTACGCTCTACTAACTTCCCCCCTAATTCATCATTATTCCAAACAACAACATCGAAGATAATCCGCATTCATTGTTACTGTTTATTATTGTTGTTTTTAATTATTAAAAAAATATAGTTTCGTATCCGTATCGTGTTTACGCATCGAAATGGGCTTTAAATTACTCTCATGGAAATGATGACATCTTTATAATTGGTTTTGCATTCATCGGAAAACCGCGGAAGACCTTGCCGCATCAACACAAAAAAAAACAAACAAATATTACGTTTTCAACAAATATTATAAAATAGAAAAATTTAAGAATCCGTACAAGAATTGCATAAACGACGAACGACGTTTTGACACAAGGTGACAGATGTCATTTAGAGATCCGAACATTGCGTTGCCATTTCCATATTTCGAAATGAATAAGTCCAACTTATTATATGTATATAATTTAATATAGAACAATTGTTTGTGTAACGATCGCAACAATGTATTTGAATGATTACATTCGAAAGTTTTCTTCGTTTCAAACATCATACCGACAGATTGGACAATGCGTATAATTTCTCTTTTTCACTTTCTACTTTTTTTTTTCCTTATTCTATATTTGTAGAAATTAATATTAATTATTAAAGAAACTCAATACAAATTATTTAATGTTATTTATTCATATTTTTAAAGAAAAGAAAGAAATGGTGTCAAAAACTTTATTGTTACCCAAATGGATAGTAAAGAGTAATTTCAAATTTGCTGTAATATTAATTACGTTCGATTGCGGAAAGGTGTGGATAACGTAAAAGCGGAAAACGAAGGGACAGTTTTAATTAAACAATTCTACGCGTTCAAATGGGATAGTCGGAAAATGCAGAGAGAGAGAGTGCTCGTCGCTTTGTATTAGCTTTTGGATAGGTGAGGAATCAATCTAATTGCACATTCCGTCCGATCCGATTTCAACTGCGGATTGTTTACCTTTGTGCAATAAATGCACCAATTTAATTTAGTTCCGATGCAATTGCGATGCAAATAGAAAACGTTCTCTACGACGACAGTTGTTGAAGTCCATCATCATCATCCAATGTTAAGGTTTTTGTGAAAGTGTTTGCGCGCGGAAATTAAGAAAGTGAAATGCTTTCGATGACCGCCTTTTGCGGCCGTTGTCGAGTCGAGTTGAGCCGATTGGTTGTTGAAAGAGCGGCGGATGAGGAGGAAAAGAAGAAGCGGCGGCGGCGGCGACACCGTGACCTGCATACACGTTCGGTACCGTTATAACGATGAAAATTATCGTTTCAAAAGCGAAACGCAATCTGGGACACGAGCAACAATGCCGTCGACTAAAACGAAGCACATTTCTTGTTCCAGTTCGTAAAGTAATCATGGGTTTAGGCGGACAGATGGACAGTTCAGTGCAAGAGTACGTTTGCGCTTTGCCCGAGGAAGTCCGAAAGGTCGCCTTGAAGGAGCTGAGGGAAGACGATTGTTCCAGAGAGCAGAGTCTTCAGCAGATGAGGGATTGGATCAAGAAGCATCCGAATATCAAGAAATGCCGCACCGGTAAATACGAAATTCATAATTCATTGTTTTTTATTAATATTATTGGCTCTTATTTAGACGCACCTTTCCTGCTGCGATTCCTTCGCACCAAAAAGTTCAGCGTTCCTCAAGCTTGCGAGATGATCGAGCGTTACCTGATCATCAGGCAGCTGTACCCGCAGTGGTTCACCAAGCTGGACTGCAACGACAAGGATTTGTCCGAGATCATCGGGAGCGGTTATCTGGTACCATTGCCGGAACGCGATGCCGAAGGACGGATCATCCTGTTCAGCACCGCCGGTAAATTCGATCCGCACAAGTTTACCGCTGCCCACATGGCCCGAGTGCATAGCCTGATTACGGAATCGCTGATGGACGACGAAACGAACCAAGTCAACGGTTACGCCTACGTCAACGATGAGGCCGGATTCACCATGGCCCACATCTCGCTCTGGTCGCTGACCGACATCAGAAACATGCTGCGCTGCATCCAGGTTAGTCAAAAACAAACAACAACAACAATCGCATCAATCGCATCCAAAAACTATTATTTTTAATATAGAACTCCACTCCGATGAGGCACAAGAGCAACCACTTCTTGAACATCTCCTCCAATGCGGTCAAACTCATCGAATTCGCCGTATCGCTTTTAAGCGAAAAACTGAAATCGAGAATCTTCATTCACAAATCTTTGGACGAACTCCACAAGCAAATCGATCCGAAAATCTTGCCCAAAGAGTACGGCGGGCAAGTACCGCTCGCCGATATGATCGACTCTTTGAAAAAGAAGTTGGCCGAGAAACGCGATCAAGTTGTCGCTCTAGACGAGATGTACATCGAAATCGACGAGAAGTCCTGCCCTTTGATAAGCGAGATGAACGAGGAGCTCGGCATGGGACTCGAAGGCAGCTTCAAGAAACTGCAGGTCGACTAAGACAACAACACTCGATACATTCAAACTAGTCTCCCAAAAGCTCCATCAAAACTACACCCACACATCTATTTAATGAATCTTTGCTTTAACTTTGCGACTACTATGTATCATAATAACAATAATAATTAATCTCTATTTAAAGAAAAAAAAAGAAGGAAATAACATTAATTTACGTTCGTATAAGTTACAATTACAATACTATTATTACTTTCTTGTTATAAATTTATACAAGTCCTAGGTGGAAAAAATGTTACCATGAATGATTGTGCAATTATCGATCAAATTTGTATTCGTCCCCGGATGCATCTGAGATTCGGCTCATAATGTTATTCATAATCTTAAGTTTTATCTTTAGTTTCGTTTCTATTTTTTATTTTATACTCGAATTGTACACGGTTTTTATCTGCAATTATTCAATTTTTGTTTTGATGTTACATGCGTGTATTTTTGTTTTTTTTATTATTATTATTTGCGTTTCATCGAAGCACGCTTGTTGTGGAATTTGTTTATTTTTTACACTTGTTAGTTTGTTTATTTTTGTGTAGTGGTATTTGTACATTCAATTTTTTTTTATGTATTACTTGTTTTACTGTTGATTTTTAAATAAATTCTATTATTGTGTTATCATTAAAGCAATTCTATTATAGTTTTATTTTAATAGAATAAATACGTTTTGGTTAGCTACCTGAATTTAAGGTATGTTAAGTTGTATAACTTGAACTTTAGTTGATGATACATTACTTTCAATTACTGATTTTCAATTCAATCTATTTAATACCTTTATCCAATTGAACTTTTGTTAATCTACGGCAATTCCAAGTACTCGATGTAATCTTTTAATCCTATTGTTCATATGAATAAATACATCAACAATTTACAAACTAGTCATCTTATTATTATAACTGGAAAAGTAGATTCATAAATCCTTTCTTAAGAAATTGTAGTTGTAGATAAAGCGAGTAGAATCAGTGTTCAGATTGTAATTGTATTCTGATAATAATAAGTAATGTAATTATAAAAGAAAATGGATTTAATTGATTAGTTGGTGACATCTCGTTATCAAACGTATTTTTTGCTTTGTTTTACCGCTAAATACAATCTAAACCTGATAATGACTTTATCGAAATCGATAAGAATAAAAAATAATAATATCGGCAAAATTTTCGTCGGTCTCCATTTGAGAATAACAACATAAAGCAAATTTACGTGATTCGAAAATGTGCGCGTCTACAAAGATACTTATATATGGTAAATAACGTATAAATTACTAAATTTTAAAGTGGAAGAACAAAAAGAAATCTCTGTTTGAGAAAGAGAAAAACAGATAATCAAAATATAAAGTATTTAATTAGTGAAATAATAAGTTTTGCAAGGATGATGATATTTGTTTTGTTTCATATTTCATCATCAATTTTTGTTATTTCTACTATCTCGGATCGACAAAAATTAAACTGTTTGAAAAAGTGTTCGTAAATTGAAGTAAATGTTTTAACTTGGTAATATTTGGGATTGGATAAATGGAATGGATGGTTGATATCAATTCATGGATGGTTTGCTTGATTTATGAATGATGCTTGTGTATTAAAACAATGAACCCGGTTTCCCCATCGCTCCGAACAAAATAATTGATTGAGTTGTATGTGCAGGGGTGAGAGAGGGCAGTCCGATTCATGAAAAGCAAATTAATTCGTCATTAAGTTCGTTCGTTCGATTTTGCAGCGTGCGTTTGCTGGTCTACGGCGGCTGGATTCACGTTGAAACAATCGCATCCGGTCCGACTTCCGGTGCACGAGGCGAATCCGGAAGATCCGAAAACCTTCATCCGATCCGACGGTTCCGACCGTCCTCAGACGATCGTCACGTGTCCGAAGGGATTCCGATTCAACGCCAACTCGATGAAATGCGTCAGAGCCGCGGCGGACGAGGACGACGGCTGGGTGAACAACGGGTGTCCCATCGACTACATGGGCCCTATGCCCTTCGCGGACGACTGCACGAAGTTCGTTAATTGTTGGCTGGGACGCGGATACCTGCAGGATTGTCCGAGTTTCCTCGTCTACAGACACGAGAAATTGTCTTGCGATTGGCCGGATTCTGCCAACTGCTGCGAGTATTGGGAAAAGGACACCGAAAAATTGACCGTTTGACCGTGAAATATCTTATCTCCTCTTTCGCATTACATTGTCCCAATCCTCCCAATTGTAAAAAAAATAAATCTCTTCACAAAAGTCTTTTCATACACACATTCCTATTGATATTATTAATATAGAAAATGTTTTAGTGAATTGTACCAAATAAATACATTAAAATATAATAGCTTCCAAATAAATGTTTCAATTATAATGTATAAATGAGTAAGCGAGTAAGATGAAAGGGTTTTTTAGTTTAATTATTTATGTTTCAAGCCAAACAGAATGGATAATGTTTTGCGGTAGGGACATCAATTAACAATTTTGTTTCATAATAAATGTGATTAAACCATATAATGTAGACTTTTGTTTAATTATAAAATTAATTAAAGTTTAAATAACTATTTGACTAGAAACTAATAGAAAACATTGAAAAATCTGATTTTACAAACTTTTATTCAATTTATATAAGATTCAAATGCGGAGATAATTGCAATTATTGTGTATGTATGCGTGCATTTCGTTGTACATTATTTGCATGCATGTGTGTATTATTATTATAAGTTTTTTTTTGTATCCATAAATAAATGTATGAGGATGGGATCAAAGGCTTTCAGGTTTCGTGTTGTTTCCATTTTCCGGCCTTATTGATTTTGTTGAATGGCCAAAAACGGTTACGTTCTGCTCTCGTCCTCTGTGAAAGCTTTTTTTTTATTCCTTTATTACAATACACGTAGGATAAATAGAGAAGCAAAAAAAATGCCAACGAAAAACTAACAAAAAAAAATTATCCATTTCATATAATGTTAGTACATTTATAGGAAAATCAAGGTGATAAGAACAATTTGAGTTTTAATAATTGTATTCAACAACAACAACTGAAACTAAAATTGATCGATTTGTATGGAAGATGCGAAACATGCGGCGGCAAGTTTATGGAACAGTTCGCATTCTATTGGATATCCGAATCGCGTTAATTATCGGGAAATATCGGAGGAGGGTGCAAAAGTTTTGGGGATAGAAGCATAGAGAAACCGAGGTTTCCGACTCGAAGACGACGACCAAAAAGACGACGAGAACGACGTTTCGCTCGAGCATCGAGAGAGAGAGGATCGAGTGTTATAAGTGTATAGGTGTAATTAGTTGGCGCTAGTTAGAAACAATTAGAAAAGTTCGTGCAAGTTGCTCCAGGCACGTCTCCTATTAATACGAGCTCGTTATTCGGAGTACGAACCCACTTCAAATCCACAAGATCTACACACACACACACACACCCAAAAAGGAAATATAAACTAAATAATTTTGTAATGATAATTCATCATTTAACGCGTTCTATGTTAAAGATGCAAATAAAAACAGGAATGGTTTTGGTACTTGTGTATTCATTGGTGCGACCGGTTTAATTATATACCAGTTTATCTGTCTCTTTCACCCCTTTTCCCCCCCACTAGTTGTGTGTGTGTGTGTGTGTGCAGTAGGTCTTGTACGAGGGTGTGTTTGTAAGTGCGTTCGGTTTAATTTACTGTTTGCAATATCGCCGGAGAAGATCTTCATTCCTCTTCCTCTTTGCCTCACTCAGTGTCAGAGGAGCACAACCCCCCCCAACCTCCACGAAATGCACAGACAATTAAAAGGGGGCTCTGGCCAAGTACACACAAGTCTCACGATATGGATGTGTGTTGTCAAAGTAACGGACTCGTGAGGAATTTACATCCGGAACGCAAATTGGGCAACGTCTCTTGTACTAGTTGTAGAAGTAGTAGTAGTAGTAGTAGTATGTACGTATCAAGGATTTCTTAATTGATTTCCTCGAGCTCGAGCTTTTATTACCAGACAATCCGCATTAATTGGTACGTTGCAGCTTTGCCAAAAAGACGTACCATTTGAAATGTACGTTTCATTCATCTCTATTAAAGTTTTGATATATATATACATTCAGTATTAACTCTTTGACATACAATGACTTGTCCCAGGTGTATTTTAGACGTTTCAATCAATTACGAGGTAAAAATTATAACTAGTAAAGTTTTAACTCTGTAATATCGTATTTATAACGAATGTGCAGATAATAGTTCAAGCAAAATATAAAACAAATTCGTCAGAAAGTATCAGATTGAATTTTTCTATAAAAATATAAAACTATTTGGTTTTGAAAAATCTAGAGTTAAATAAAACACATCGTTATGGTAATAGAAACAAATAGATATGTAGCAAAGACAACTTATATTTTATATCATAAAAATGTTGACCCGGCGCATCCACCGCATTACTCAAATATATCTTTTTAACTTTTGAATAATGATTTTTATGAATTTCAATCTTTGTGCAAAGAAAAGTGAAAGCATTGGATTTCTTAGTTTATTGATTGCATTGTTGCTGAGTTATATAACCTCATCTGTTTCTCTCTCTCTCTCTATTCTTTTGTCTGAATCTCTCGTGTATTTGTGTGCAACCGACGCCACAATTATTGATTGTTGCGTACGGGCATTATTGGTGCAGGTGCAATAGATTTACTTTGGTCGCGCCCAATTAGTTTCGAGCGAAATCAATTTAACTAGTGGCGTCGGTCAGTTGTGTGCATATATGTATATATATAATTTGCTTTCAGCCGGTTTATGTGGATGGTGGTCGAAGGGTAACAGAAACAAAAACACAAAAACAAATAAATTGTTGTTAAAACATAGCAACCGTTGATGTTTTGCAAATGTTCAATATTCAAACTGACAACGAGTACAATTTTTGAAATAATTCTATTCTTTGTATTACAATAAAACATTAACATTAATTATAAAAAAAAAATACATTATAAATTGTAATAGTCAAAGTGTATTGAAGATTCATGCAAAAAAAATGCTTAAATTTTATTCCAATTTACTCGACTTCACGAATTCGATGCGTTTGATGTCGACTAATTGCTAATCGGCAGAATAAACGAAAGCATCTAGAAATGGATACACCTCTTAACATGAATTGGAAAAGGGCTAATCTAGCTTAAAGTTTACACGGGTAAAGGTAATTGGACCGAAATCGGTGATAAGTTGTTTGGAGAGAAGTGAAATATATTCCCTACTAATTTTGATATAAATATATGTAACGTGGAGGCATATTACGCCTGGTGCACGTGCGCTTCAGGATTAGTACTTAATCCGGCGGAGAATTAGTTTTAGAACTATTCACTTCCCTCACGTCTATTTAGTTACGGTGCATTACACATCTCAGCTTAGTGCAAACGCGCGACTCTTCTGGTTTTCGATTCAAAGTAATCGTCGTCATCTCAATTGCAAAAGAACGACCCTCCTCCTCCTCCTCCTCGACTACCTAGAACGATTTTGGGTCGAATGAACGTAAAATTAGGGAGATTCAATTTCCCCGAGTCATTGCTATTTACTGTTAAGAGGGAATTATTAATTAGGGCTTGAGAGAAAGACGAAGTCATCATCTTTAATATAATTATTATCACTTATTGACTAAATCAAAGTAATAAGTGATAATTACAAAATTTGCAACAACAACAGAAAACAAATTATAATTTGCTTAATTAATTATAAAAAAAACAATGAGAATTAGTGTAGCGTGTTCAGCGACGATTTGATTAAATTATTCGCGAATTAAATTGGAAATAAAATAATTTACAGAAATTAAAATATATGAATTATTTTCGATAATGAAGAGGGATAATATTTATAATTGGTGGAATTATTGAAATTATTCATGAAAATTTATATATAATTTCAGTTTTAATAATACCATTACATTTCCAATTCAACTCATACGTATAAAGCAGGTATAGAAACAATATTTAAGTGTGAATTAAGATAACAAAACAACTTTGAAAAACACTGCTATAGACTGCAAAAACTACGAATTTACATAACATTCACGTACTCAGAGGTATTATTTCCCTAACCAGTTCTTTTCCATTATTTTCGCCCGCTTTCGTTTGTTTTTTTTTAAATAAACACGCTAAATTCGGATGCGCTAATTGCGCGCACAATTCCCCCCAAAACAGGGATAAACAAAAATGATTCAGCATGATTCTGATGAAATGTTCGGACTCGCGTATTTTCCGCTCACTTCCTCCACATCTCTTTTTTTTATTATTATTAAACCATTTTTGTTTAAATTCTTTGGTTCTCGCTGACGCAGACGAGAGAGAATGACACTTGCCTGTCAGCCGGAGAGGCGCAGATGACTGCGATCATTAAAGTCGCTGCACTTGTTGACAACGTTAATTGAACGAACTATAGTACTGCATGTAGCAGTTTCGCAAAATGAACAAATTCCTTCGCCGTTGATTCTGCGTGAAAGACGAACATCTGGCAAATTATTATGCGGAAAACTTCCGTATTCCAGGTGTTCAAACGCTCTATTAATGCAACGAATTAATCAGGTGCCAGAAGGAGAATACGACGAGTTTCATATATACAATGCGTAAAGTACAATTCTACCTTTGCATATCAATAGAGTTATGATGTCTATTCGTTTCTTTGAGACAATTAATGTTGACTTTGATTTTTCAATTACGTAATATTCATTGCGTTTCGCGGATATTTTGCAACTGGATAATTCCAACGCACGTCCGATTTTAACCGCAAGAAAAAAAAAACATGCGTTTATGAATGATATCATTCGTTAAGGAATGTAAGAGCAGATCGATAAGTTATTTACTAAATCGAACAAACTAAAGAAAAGTAATCGTGTGAATCTCTTAATGGAAGTTATGGATCGGTGGTTTCTACCGTTAACAACTCTCTATTATCTCCAGAGAATCCTGAGACATATACCAGATTAAAGATACTCCGGTTTTCAATTAACACCACCAAAGTGCAAAAAAAGAAAGAACTAATTTAATTTCTTATATTTATTCAGATCAAGTGAAGAAATTGAATAATGAAATGATATTTTTTTGGTTATAAAGAAAAACCTTGATAATTAATTTAATTGAATTACTGAAAATCTCCGTTTAAGAGATCTGGACGTCGGTGGTTTTATTTTGTTTTTATTGTTTTTTTTTGTATATATATGATGGCATGACAAAAAGCGTTGGTATTTATACTCATACGCCTGGTTTTTCCAACGAAGCAAAATATCCTCTTCGCGTTACGGATCTCTCGCTCCGATCCGCTCCGCTTTGTGCCATAATAAAGTTTCTGGTTGTAAATGTCAGCTCTTCTTGATTGGATATATCAGCACTCGCTCTGCACTAAATACGACGGCTCCATCCGAGGCGCGCGTATACCAGACAAAAACACGAACCCATTAAGTGTATCAAGAGAGAAGCGAGAAACGGCTGAAGAAAATGAAAAAAAAGGTTGAAGTAACACCCTCGAATATCCACTGGCAATATCTGATATTAACGATTCGATCGATTCGATTATTTCTTATTAAAAAATGTGGTAATAAGTAAACAATATTATTGTTTACAACACAACACTTTTTGACACATTGTTGACATGTTGATCCAATTGATTATCAAAATAGATTTGCAGAAAGTCAGACAATATTAAAACCAAATGAAAACGATCAAAGTTAATATAAATAATTAAGTATACACTTAATTACTCGCGCAAGTTCAATGCTTTAATAAGTTATTAAGATTAGTGTTCATGATCTTAACGTTCGTGGAGTCATAATATCTATGTGACTAAGTGAGTTGCATGAAACTACCTGGAGAATTATTATTCGACAGCGGAAAGGAGGCAGAGGACGTAGGGCGCGCAGAAACACTTACTCGAGTAATCCAATAAGCCTCAAGAGAATTAACTCTCAACATTACATCTAAATGAAGGTAATCACTGCATCCATTAAGCTGCAATGAATAAACAATACTAAATGCAATCTTAAATGCAAGTTAACATTATGAAATTGACAAAATGTAGATAATTTATTAACATCGATTAAAGCTGTTATGTGAAAGTATTATCCAGTTAGTGAGATTTGAAGCAAACGTTACACGTGTATCCTGCAGAGTTTTAGGGTTGATGGGCATCCCCGAAGGACTCTACCCGACATCGAGTCATTGTTATTCAAGACCACGAGCCCGTGAAAGGCGTAACTAATGAAGAGCTCTCGCATTGTACAGTATAATCTCGTCGTTCGTTGGTCTCCACCACTTTGCAAGGAAGGAAACCCACCTTCCTAGGTGATGGGGGTCCTCTTCTCCCCTTGCACACGTTGCGTGCACATTCTTCTTTTTAAACTCTATTTCATAAGCGAGGGCGCATTTTTTCGCGACGTCTAGACACCATTCATCTTCGGCGATAATATGCCATTCTTCATTACATCTTTACGTTACACACATCATGTACGTACCTACCACGCATGTGAATTATATAGCCCTTGTCGCGGTGGAATTTCCAGCACCTTTTCCAGCTGCAACAATGTGCGAATGCGAAAATGTGGAAAGTCGGACTCTTTAATTTGCAGAATCCATTCAATTAATTTCCACCGTAAAGGAGTTCCCTACTTGCGGTTAAAAGTAAATAAGATGGGAAAAAAAAAGGGTGGAAAAGCGAGCGAAATTGCTACACTGTTTGCGTGCTGGGGGAGGATACAGAAGCAAAAATAATAAATGATCGTTGCAAAGAGGTTTAATTAATTAGAAACCTCATTCCGTTACTTCCCTTCTAAGAAACCAGTTTTCGCGATTGAATAATTGATTTCTTCGTCATCATCCCATCCCATCCCATCCCCGTTCAATTATGCTTTGAAGGGAGGTTGTGACGGGGGGGGGTGGTTTGAGGTGGTTGTAGGGATTCGAATAATACATTTATTACACTGCAAATATCGGCCTCATTAAATTAACAATCCCACCGTTTTCTTCGCATCCGCCGCCGCCGCCGCCATCCGAGATGGATTGTTCCAGACATAAATCAAGCAACCTTCCGATGGAACGACTAAGATTGATGTTCATTAAATTGAAAATGCTCAATAACTCCATGTGCATTCACTATATCATTTGCTGCAATATTTCTCAGTACATATGAGATTTTCAAATAAATTTTAATGTAATTTCTATGCTCTATATATCATAACTAATGTTTAAATAATTTGTGCAATTAATGAATATATGTAGCAATAATAATTCACTACTCAATTTGATATATATTTATTCAAGTTCTATTTACTTTTTAATTTATAACTAAAAGTTGATTTTCAACGGATGTTAATAATTTCAAGTGTGCCATGATATAAAAGTTTAAAGTTCCTCACTTTGACACAATGTGTCACTTCGTAACCCAACATTTTTATTTGTGGTTATGTAATTGTTTACAACATAACCCTTTTTGACACTAATGCCACAAGATGACAGTTGTCAACTTTGTAAAAGTTTTGTTTTGTTGCCACAGTTACTACTTTTAAATGAATATTCTACACAATTAATACATTTGTGATGTAACGAATATCAATATAGTTAATAATGATACGTTGCATACACTATTTTTGTATAAATACAAATATTGTATCATATCTACGTGAATTAAATTGATGTTCACCTATTAGTATTTACACGGATTAATGGAAGGTGGTTTCGCGTTTATTTTACTTCTCTGTAATAGTTTTTTTTTGTGATGGGCACACAGAGAGGGATCGATACTTCCCAGTTGCAGCGGCCCTTTTCAGCGGCCAGCAATTGCAAGTATCCACCGCAAATGTTCGCCCGTTAATTACTAAATGAGCAAATTAACACATACGTATGTACACACACGCACACGCACACACATACTCTCAACAACGTTGGGACGAGAATTTGATTTTATAGTCGTATAATTGAGCTTAATTGCTTCACCTCGTGTTCCGCCCTCTAGTCCAACAACAATTCGACTCTTATCAATTTCATAATAACGGTTCATTAATCGCTGATTAATAAAAAAAAAATTACTACGTTTTTCATTTTGGTGCAGAAGCGCGAAACGCGTAATCGATTTCAGTAATTATGACTGAAATGTTCGTTAATTGGATTTTAATATTAAATACACGATCAGCGCTTAATTAACGTTCATAATGCGTAAATAAATTGTACGTTAACCGGACAGGTCACATATAAACAAACTCAAGTTTTTGTTTCAATTGTTTTCCGCACACGTGCATGTTTTGTTCGACGTTCATTCGAACGTACACTTTTGATTTGCTTGAATACACAACAATGTCTCGCATAGTCCGATTTCAAAACAAAACTAAAATTTGATGTGAGCAAATTATTATTATAGAAATATCAATTGTTGAATATAGAAAATGGGAATTTCCAATTCATAAATTTTTAAAAATTATTATATTTAGAAAGTGAGTTAGTATAGATATAATCAATGATTCAACAATTAGTTTCATTAAACAGTTTTAACAATTCACGGAATTGCTTTGCAAATCATTATATATTATTTGTAATTGCTATGTTTACAATTAAAGTGATGTGAAAAGTATGCATTTAAATTAAACAAAGTTAATTTGATTATAAAACTCGTTGATAACTCATCGGAAACGTAACGTGATTCACTTTTGCTATCTAAAATAAAACCCGCGTTGAAATGTGTATTATAAATAGAGATATTATTAATGATCATTGAATTGCGGTTTTCGGAAGACGCAATTATTTTCCCAATGTGTAAATGTTGTTACAAAATTTCAAAGGAAATGACCGTGACGATAAGATCATCACCCGGTTATCTGAGCAGTATATATGAGTTGTTGCAGATCGAACGTAGACTCAGAAGTGTACGAGATGAAGTTCGCGTTGGTTCTGGTCGTCTTGTGTGTTGTGGCGGTTTCGGCCCATTGGGGTAGATGGAATAGGGAATGCGGAAGGATGAGTTGTTTGGATAGGGTGTTTAAAAGTGGTCATCAGGAATGCTGCAAGAAATACGGTTTGTTTATAGTTTTATCTTGATTTATGATGAAAATAACACGAAAATTTGCTTCGTTAGAGTTGAATGGTGGTTGGAGGAAACATTGGAGATCCTATCCCCATAGTCATGGACATCGACACCATCATTGGAATGGTACAAATCATTCACATCATCCAAATCATCCGCATCATCCGCATCATCCGCATCATCCGCATCATCCACATTATCCGCATAATCCACATTATCCGCATAATCCACATTTCCCATGTAAAAATCACACACAAATACCTCCAATTCCTACAACCACGACAACAACTACCACTGAAAAACCAACTCCAAGTACTACCACAACAACTACCACTGAAAAACCAACTCCAAGTACTACCACCACGACAACAACTACCACTGAAATACCAACAACGAAACCTGAAATAACTACACTTAATATATCGGAACCAACAACAGAATTAGAACCCACAATTTCCGATATTACAACAGATATTCCAGAGGAAATAACGACAGAGCTTACTGAAATATTCCCAGAAGCACAATAATTTGTATTTTGTTTGTAAACTTATTTCTTTTTAAATATATTTGAATTAGCATTAGAAACATTTGCGTTATTAGAAACCAGCCAACTGTAATCGATTCAAATTATTGAAGTGTACATATTCTGTTGTTATCACTAAAATAAAATTGCATAAATTTTATGTAACGAATAAGAAAGATAAGGTCATTTAAATAAATCACGGATGCAACGGTAATCCGCTGCTTTACGATTTATGCGCAAGGTGGAGCAATCATTAATTTCGTAAAATGGACTTGGGTTTCGATGGGATTTAGATCGGAACAGCATGTATATATAGACCGTCTTGTTGCGATGGGATTTAAGATTATAAATCACAATGTACTGAATAAAAAGTAATTGCATTTGTTATTAAGACAAAACAAACTGATTACGATAATTACGTACAATCAGAGGCGACCTCTCTCGTAATAAATATAAACAAACTCAAGATTATTTAATCGTTAATTACTTAATTATAAATATAGTTAATTATAATTAGAATCTGTTTTATTTATAACTTTTATAACAATAGTTAAATAAAAGTGTAAATAATATACCTATTTTGATGTAAATGTAAATTAAGATTAAGAACATGACACCTTAATATACAAGTAAACATAAAACGTAATTCAACTTTCCATATTAAGTCGGTCAATTCAAATGAAGATATATTTGTAAGTGGGAAGAAACAACGTCCAACTTCATTATTCCGCTTTTCGTGTTATTAAGATGGATTAAACAACGTTCTTGGGTTCCGAATTAAAGAAGTTCTTGAAGCTCTAAATTTGTGGATTGTGCGTGCGAGTCTGAGCATACACACGTATACACGTCATGCAGGTATAAATTTCCTTTTTATCCCTTTCTCGTTTCCTGCAATAAGTTGGAATATAAAATGCGTTCGCGTGGATTTATCGTCGTAGATATTTTATATATACATATATATATATATTTATTTATTTTGCGACCGAGACCTCCATATATCATTAAAAACGATTATAAATATCTGCGGCCGATAATCTGGGAAAACGTTGTAATTAAGTTGATGAATTTATTGCCGCCACTACTACCGCCGCCGCCGCCGCCGCCTCCTGCAAACGTACACAAAAGCATTCGTATCCACAACACCACAACAGCTGTACTAGAATAATGCAGGACATTCGGTCGCACTAAAACCGACGTGCACGTCCACCTACTATCCAATATTCTACCACAGTTTTGCTTCCTCCAATAAACAATACGATTTTAATGGTATGTAGATTTATGTGTGTACATCTTACATCAACAAGAGAATCGATGTTTGTAGATAATTTGGATTATTTATTTCTTTTAATAATCAAGCAAGCGGAAGAAACAAATTTTATTATCAAGTGTCGATTGGTCTAATCAAAACAAAAGTGCAGCTTCTTCCTTAGTTTCTGTAAACAAAAAATTGACGTTTTTGACGTTTTCTATAAAAACAAATGTGTTAGTTAGTTATTACAGTAGCTTTCTTGATTGTTTCATCCAATTTGAATAGTTAAAACCACCACCTTCTGCAACTTCTAATATACTCATTCAACAGTTGTATGAAAATGATCTATATTAATTCTAATAATTGTCTTTCCCAACAATAAACTAATCATAATTCGGAGAAGCAGTTGTTTTAGTTTTTTTTATTTTAATGTCAAAGCAAATTTTGCTTTCATTCGTGCGGATGCTTTGCTTCGTGAATTGTAAATTTGAGCATCATCAACGTGTTTAGTTGAAACGGAAAATAGTATTTAATATTATTTGAAAGCGTCGTGGAAAGTCGTCCAACGCAAAGTTTAATTAATTAAAAACGAACGAAAAACAAAAAAAAAGGGCCTCTGTTTGCGCTAAATGAACAAAAGGCACGGCCAAACGAAACGAAACGGCAAACACGGAAGAAAAAAATTCATCGGACTGAACGTAAGCTAAATACGGTATGCAATTTCAGAAACAAACAAAAAATCATCATCAAACTGTGTGTGTGTATCGAAAACAATGTGCTGTTGACTTTCTACGTTTCTCGTTGCGGGATATTAAAAAAAATATTTGGTATTTTGTTAAATCGAATGGAACTTTTTCTCAATTTCATTTACCACGAAATTTACACTTGATCTCTTCAATTATAAACTTTAAAAATCTAAATTAAATCTAGTTTTTTTTTAATGTAATTGGATTTATTATTTTTGTGTCTGTCAGATCTTGGAGAAATCTCTTGGAAATGTTGATATTTTTTAATAGTTTTATACTTTCTTAATAAGTTATTAGTTTTTTTTTAAATAATTGTGAATATTCAAATGAAAATCTAGTGGAGCGAAAGTTTGGTTTGGTTTTATATTGGAGAAGTTTGGAATTTTTAAGTTATTTTAAATTAACAGTTCGTACCAGTCTTTAACACTTAATTATTCATACTGTTATAGTTTCTAAGTTGAGATTTTTAAAAGTGAAATGTTCGAAAGTTGCGCACGTAAGAGAAGATCTTTTTTTTTTTGTAGTTTAATAACGAGGGAGAATTAATTAATCGCTTATTGTTTCGCTATTTACGGTTTAATAATGTGGTGCTGGTTTTATGTGTGTCGTCTACGTCGGGTGTGTCGTTTATTCGGCCGTAATAGTTTAGCCCCGAAACTAAATTCTGTGCCTCGAGGTGGTGGTTCTTCCATCCTCACCCCAACAGAAGCCGCCACCGCCGCCGCCTTCGTCCGCTTTTCCACCCCCGTACACACAGCTATTTGTCAACAAAAAGGGAAACTTTGGACAGGCAGATGACGAAGAACTTTGCCGGAAAACCTTCCTTCCACCCCCCTCGAAAACCACTTCCAATGTTTACTTATCTCTTATACCCCGATATTCCAATATCTCAGCGCTCCATCGAAATGCATACAATGCTTTACATTTAGTTTCTCTATACTCACTCACTCACTGATCTAACATTTTATTGTAGAAAGCGTTGTAGAAATAAGAAAAAACAAACTTGAAAGTAAACAATAATAGTTTCCGCACTATTTGAAACCGCACAACAAAAACAGCAGCACAATAAGAACTTAAATAAAATGTGTAATTATTATCAAATGAATCAACTGCATTTATATTCGAAACGTGCCTTTCTCGAACTTTCCTTTCTTGCAGCTGAAACTTTCACAAAAGTCTGCAAACTTTGTTACGTAATTGTTCTCGAATCATTGAGATTTGTTGCGATCTGCGTTACGCTCTTGCATTCCTCACATGTAAATACCATAAATCCAAGTTAATTTTTCTTGTTTTCATCTCGATTTAAACAAAAATATAATTTGTTCGAAAAATGTCATTTTCGTAATGCATGTAATCCGCCCAGAAAAACCAATTTGCTGAAGCTAAAAACGATAAATTTGTTGTTTTTTTTAATTTTTTTTGTTGATAAAGTGCAAGCGGGAGGCACGTTTATGCATGGAATTAAAGCCTGACCAATGTGTGTACGGATTAGGTGGATGTCAGAACGGAGGCGGCTGCGGTTTGAACGGTTGCGGAGGGCTTAACAATTCTCTCTTATTTGTGTATGCACGTACGTGTGTCATGGGAATGCCACGATTCTAGCAGCAAGAAAGTGAAATGAATTCATAGTCTGTTCATAGTGTGTTGCTATTGTATAGTTGATACAATTGGTGGATGCGCCGGGTCCGCGCTCTTACACTTCTACTAAGTGACAAACGGGCTGGGACGTGGCCTCCTACGCGCGCAAGAAGACAGGAGTAATATGTTCACCTCATTGCACCCTCGTCTCCCACGACCTGCAGAATTTATACGACGGTTCTTGCGGTTACCTAGCGTATACGTACAGAAACAACAAAATCCCATAATATTTCTCATATTCCGAGCGTCCGCATTCTTACCGAAACTATGAATTTTTACCTAAATTACACTGAAAATTACAAATTTTTCGAGCCATTTTGTCAATTATAGTTTCTGAGAAAATCAGTAAAATGTAACTTTAATAAAAATGAGACGTCAATCTTTGATATCACAAATACTTTTTGATTTTATGCAGAGAGATTGAATGCATTCTTTGTCAAGAAAGGGGATAGATTCGCATTTTCAGGCGTGTCAAGTGTCTATACAAAAACCATTTTACACGCCTTTTCTGAACGCATCATAATAGTGTACCAAGTGGGCGAATATCTAGAAAACTCCCTTTTAAGTAGCTGTAACTGAATTGGGTTTCAATAAAAGTTTATACAACAATATCACTCTGTTGTGTAGATCAATAAATTATAAATAATGTTTTATAACCTCTTTTTTTTATTAAGTTTTGTGGAGGTGTCATTTTATTTACCATGACACACATCATTGACAGTTAAAAACGTCATATTTTGACGTCCGCAAACAATAATAAATATATAATTAGAAGAAAAGAGAAAAATTATACTGAATATTCACGTAGCGTCCATAAATTACAATTTGAGTTGCGTTTGCAATTAATAATATTCGATTCGCCGCTGTACATGGAGAATGGCCGAAATTAAACGCAAACATGTTTTGCGGCAACAATAACACCAACACGAATCGATATATAACATATTTAGTCGATGGTAATTCAGTGCAGAAATGCTCCTATACGTAGCACCCAACCCGTCTTCGCTCGCGTCTTCCTAATTCCGACTAATGCACGTCAAAACGATGATTAAGACACACCTAATTTACGCCACTTTGCCAATCCAATTACAGCATCGTTCTCATTACATTAATTGCATACCGTTGTAAGACGCGGAAGGATTTTGTCGAACTGCGCCGAGAGTAAATAAAATTCTACCCCGTTCTCGCTTAATTACGAAACCCCAAAAACTTGATGTTATATGTCTGCGCGAGAATTCATCTCTTTTGTATCTCGATTTCGAATGAATTAAAACCAATTCATTTAAGTGCTCTCAATTAATAAAAGTGTAGTTATTGTACAACACTTACAAGTGTTTGTAATTCGCAATTAATTAATGAATGCAGAAAATATATGGAAGCAAGCAATCGTATACCTGTTTTTTTTTACACTTTTATTTCGTTGAATGCGATTTTATTATGTAAACTGGAGCAGAAGAAGTGGCCATAGTTAGTGTTTTAAACTCGACTGAACTTGGTCTGTGCGATGCAAAGTGCACACCGTAAGGATGACAATAAATGAAAC